GTCTTAGCGCGATCGTTGAAATTTAGTGTATCGTAAAATTATATTCGGAAAGAATAAACCAGTTTTATTAAGTAAGGACTTGTGTCGCTAAAGTTTCGTCGATACGAAGTTACGGAAAGTTAATTAACGAACGGAGACGTAACAATATGATATGATGATCGCGCATCTAGAATTTTTTGGCGAGTTCGGGAAATATTTTTAACAATTAACGATATTAAAAGCCAGTTACACTAGAGTAGTTATTATGTTAATAACTTGTTTATTACTTTAGTTTTGTAGATTTTTGGTTTGTGCTTTAACGAAGTATCAAAGGTACAGGAGCAGTTAGCAGGTAATTAAGTGACTAGCGTTACTTACAAATCCATGTCTATCCTTCGGTGAACTTGTGGTAAACAGAAATTCAAGTTTTCCTTCTCGTTAAATGGACTGAACTTTTGCATATTTTTATAGGGTGATCCAAAAGAACACGCCCAACAAATATAAAACGCCACGATAAATTTAAAAAATATATTTATTTTAAAGATATGTATTTGAAGCTGAAAATTCACGATCTTCCAAATAACTAAAGAACTGATCTAATGGCGCCTTGACGAATAATTTGAGGGGGGGGGGGAGGAGTTTAAAACATTTTACAAAAACGTTATATTTTTGGCGGTCCCCAAAAGAAACGTGTTACATATCCACAAATCTCATTAAACTTCGACTTACAATCACTTCATGCGTGGACAGTCCAATAAAAAAAAAGAGCGCATGTGTATGTGACTTTTAACTATGCGGTAAAACTCCAACTATAAACTAAAAACCAGCAATAATAGTAATGGCTGCAATAGCACATCATTCTGGTGGAGTAAATCGGCTAAAAATAAGGGGGAAAGTGGGTTTAGTAATGGCTACAATAACGCATCATTCTCGTGGTGTAAATCGGCTAAAAATAAGGGGAAAGTGGGTTTAGTAATGGCTACAATAACACATCATTCTGGTGGGGCAAATCGGCTAAAAATAAGGGGGAAAGTGGGTTTAGTAATGGCTACAATAACTCATCATTCTCGTGGTGTAAATCGGCTAAAAATAAGGGGAAAGTGGGTTTAGTAATGACTACAATAACGCATCATTCTCGTGGTGTAAATCGGCTAAAAATAAGGGGGAAGTGGGTTTAGTAATGGCTGCAATAACACATCATTCTCGTGGGGTAAATCGGCTAAAAATAAGGGGAAAGTGGGTTTACTATATTTGTTATTAAACAAACTGCGTTTGGTGGTACGCAATAAAACACTACTCCCTCCCCATGACTAGTGACACCCACTATCAACGGGGTCTTTCAATCAAGATACATCAACTTTTGTCACGATTTAATAACTGTTTCTACAAAACAGATCCACCAGGCCAAACCAGGCCTCACTACCATTGAGCGAAGACTAGTGACACGTGCCATGGGAGAAAATAACGTGCAACTCACCTACACATTATTAACACTGACGTCCTCCAGATGTCTCTTTTTAAGACATCTATACAGGGTTGTTTTCAATGTGTAAACTACAAGGATTCCAGTTTTTGGTTAGAGTTTATCAATCACTATTTAACTTTTTTATTAACTAAATTTTGGAGACACTAGCGATGTGAATAGAACTATGTATACTCAAGTAACACATTAACAGACATGGATTGTTGGCTGCCCAAAAATTAAATCTCTTTTGTGTAGATAACATTTGATTTGGAGTAACAAAACTTGTTGGACCTTTGCAAGTGATACTTGTGTACTGTCCACATATACTTGTACAATAATCAGGATAATATATCAGAAGAGCGCATGCGTGCTTTCAAAAAGGAGCATCAGCGAGACAACATTATTGAAACTGATTGAGTACACGCGCGCATGAACGAATAAAACAAATGGAACCTTTTCCCACTTCCACGTAATCGACAAAATCGGTAGAAGTACATGTACGTTGGCTGTATATTTCTGACATTTTTAGACTAAGAACTAAAAAAAAAAGAAAGAAAAAAACCGTCTCATTCAGCTCAAGGGAGGCTACGTTCTCGTGAGACATTCAAGACCATTGGAGAAACTATAGAAACTGTTTTTGTAAATGCATGAATGAATCAATAATAGAGGTTCATAGATGAGTGAGTGGTTGCATGGTCAGGTAGAAAAGACTGGTGTTTGAATGAGTCGATAAGCGAAAGACGAACAGAAATGAACTGCGTGTTTGTAGGTTATTAAACGACTAGGTTATTTCTGTTTGCTTTATTAAGGTGAAGGATTTGCAAACAGGTATATGGATATAACAGGCGAGGATATGAATGGTCAGATAGATGAATGACAGGAAGTATAGCTTGCTGTTTAAAAATAAATGTTTTCATTGGATGAGACGTTCTAGATAGATATTAAGACTGATAACAT